GCATTTATTGATATTTTCAAGAAGTAGGTTTTAGTTTAATTGTTTTTTTTCTATTAATTGTCCATTTTCAATTTAATAATCGCCTAATTCTGTCCTCCTTACTGGTTTGTTGTTTCTTCCGATCCAACTCCTGCCCACCAGGCACACACAGTTCTTTCTTCGTGATCCTTACATCCTAAGACACTTATCTATGGTGTAACGTGCCACAGTTGATCTTAGAGTTCCCCGGGCTTGTTTCTTTTACCAGACTTGAGCATCTCAAGGATAGCACTGTGTCTTCTTCCTCTCCGTAGCCATAGTCCCTGGCACATAGCTGACGTCCATCCAGGGCCAATGAATGAATGCTGCTCTGAGCAGTTTGTGTAAATGACAAGAGAGTTGTCTGTACAGCCATGTGGCACTGTGTTCAGATTCTGGTTGTGCCACTTCCTGGGTGTGCAGCCGAGTTCAGTCTCCTAACCACTCCGAGCCTCATTTGTGGAAACAGCATTCTCCTTGCTGGGCTCATATGAATGTTACAGTCAATGTGCCCAGGTCACTTCGTGTAGCATTTGGCACTTAAGTGGTGCTCAATAAAAGGTAGCCATTGCAAGGTCTTTCATTTTAGCTTGAATAATAAATTGTGGTATGCCTGAAAAGTAAATATTTTGTTTTTAGTGAATAGTGGTTTTGTAGTAGTCTTCTCTCAAAGTAAGCACTGAGGTGCACTCACAGGAGTGGAAGACTGGCAGAGCAGGGCACTGCTTCTTGTTGCTCTTTGATGGAAGCAAAGCTTGAATGTCCTGTCTTTTGCCTTACCAGCCCTCTTAATGGTTTCATTAAAATGTCCTAATTTTACCAGTCTGAGGAGGCTTTTTGTTGGTTTCTCTCTTCCGTTTTCTTTTTTTTTAATCAAAGAGGAAAGGCAGGAATACTCAATTTCACACAACCTTTTCTGTGCTTGGTTTTCATAAATTAGACAGATATTTCCTCCCATCATTATATCTTTTCCTTGCTTCTCTGCAAAGTAAAGAAACAGCCAATTCCAAGAAAATAGAAACACAGATTATTTCTTTGTTACATGGTACTTGAAAGTTATCTATCTCCGTGTATTTTTTGCTCATTTCCCAGGTGATTTCTCCCACATATATCCCTCTCTGGAGGTGACTTCCTGCAATTTGAGGAAGATGCCATATGTATGCCGGGTGATGGGCTGGCTTGGTTTGTTTATTTGTTAGTTAATTTATTCATATATTTATTCACTCAGCTATTTATTGAAATTTCTGAGGTCAGGGACCTCATCTTATTCATTTTGTGCTAAACACAGAGCCTGGCACTCAGAAACCCAGGAAGGGTTTGAAAAGATGAGTAAAAGAAGAGATCAAACAAATGCAGGTCAGATGGACTCAGAAAGTCTTTACCAAAAGGCTTGCTGGATGTGTGTATGTTGGATCTCTCCCTCTGCGGGTGAGAAGGGTGGGTTAGGGGGTGTAAAACCCATTCACAAGAAACCAGCAACCTTTTGGAGATGATAGGACAGTGCTTTCGGCTAAAGGGAATGGGAAAAGGATTTGGGATTTTGCTGAGGCCAAAACATGATCCTTGAATATTAAAAAAATCATTGAACACTTTGTAAGTGTGGAGAAGGCATGCCTTTATCTGGGCTGACAAGAAGGAGTCATGTTTACATGGGTGGAGGGAGTCAGTGAAGGTATTTCTGGTAGTACAAAAGTTGAAGGGAACCTCTAAACATACAGGCATGGAAGACACTTTGAGGAGCGACTGGAGGCGAGTTGGAACAATGAGCTTTTGAAATGGGATGGAAGGACTTGGGTAGACGTTTCTCCAAAGGAGACATACAAATGGCCACTTAGCACGTGAAAAGGTGCTCAGCATCACCAGTCATCAGGGAAATGCAAATCAAAACCAAAATGAGGTACCACTTCACACCCATTAGCATGGCTATTGTCACAAAAACAGAAAATAATGAGCATTGGCAAGGATGTGGAAAATGTGGAACTCTGGGCACAGCTGGACAGGATTTAACATGGTGCAGCCACTGTGGAAAAGGGTATGGTGATTCCTCACAAGAATTAGATATAAAATAATCATATGATTCAGAAATCCCACCTGTGGTTGTATACCCAAAAGAACTGAGATCAGGGTCTCGATGTTTGCACACCCATGTTCACGGCAGCAGCATTCACAAGAGCCAAGACGGAGAAGCAGCCCACATGTCCATCCGCAGATGAATGTGCAAACAAAAGGCAGGATATCCATACGGTGGAGTAGTAATCAGCTTGAAAAAGGAAGGAAATTCTGACACATGCTTCAACATGGATGAAGCTGGAGGATGGATGTTATGCTATGTGAAATAAGCCAGGCACGAAAGGACAAAATTGTATGATTACGCTTACGTGAAGTCCCTGAGGTAGTCAAATCTGTAGAGACAGGAAGTGGAGTGGTTGTTAGGGGCTGGGGGAGAGGCAATGGAGAAGTGGTGTTTAATGGGTTCAGTCAGAGGTTCAATTTGGCATGAAAAAGCTCTGGAGATGGATGGTGGTGACGGTCCATCAACGATGTGAATGCACTTAATGCCACAGAACTGTGCACTTAAAAATAACTAGAGTGATAACTTTTGTTTTATATGTTTTACCACAATAAAAAATGTAAAATGAATAAATAAAAGAATAAAAGAAATGCAGATAAAACTCATTTCTTCCTATTCTAAGCCACATGGCCTTAGGGTATGCAATTTGTAAGGTTGCAGAGGGAGAGAGAATTTATTCGGTGAGTGCCTCCTTGTTCTGCTACTGTCTTCTCATTGAATCCTCACTGAAGTCTAGAGGGAAAGGTATGAATTATTGTCCCCATTTAATGTCTGAGAAGCTGAGGCTCGGAATGGTTAGATGGGGCGCCCAAGGTCACGCAGAACCGGAGGGCAAGCCAAGTTTAGCTGGCATCCACACCTCTCTCTCCTGCTGCAGCAGGCTACCTGGACTTGGTCAGCTGGACTGCCTTCCCATAGGAAAGTCATTCTTCTTGGCATGTCCTCTCGGTGACACCATGCACATATAGGCTGTTTTCTCTACTTTTAAAAAATTCTGTAGCTGTGACTGCCTCCCTATTGGAGAGGAAAAGTAGGTCCACAGGAGCTGTAACTGAGGCTAAATGCATCTTGCTGGGATGGCTTCTCGAATGTGATTCTGGAGGCTGAGGCAGGAGAGGGGAGGCAGGAGACTCCTTCTGGCCTTTTGGAAGTATGGCTTTGTATTGCTCCTGGCGGGTGGGAGAGAGTGCTCAAGTCTGCGCTTAGCATGTGACTTTGCAGCCTGATGGGGCACTATCAGCACCAGACCTGTTGCTCTGTGCTCACGCTCTGTGCTCCGACTTTCACCCTCATGGCTGCTTTTCTGGAAGATGCTTCCACTAGGGTCATGAGTGACCAACTCATTGCCAAATGTGGTGGACACCTTCTCAGACCTTACTTGACATGACTTCCTTGTGCAGCGGGTGTTACTGGTCTTCTTCCTGAAGCTCTGCCCTCCTTGGGTCGTCTTGACACCCTTCTTTTATTTTTTCTCTTGTGCTTTGGTCCATATCTATGAAACCATTGCCTAATCCAAGGTCATAAGAATTCAGTCTTATGATTTCTTCTAAGAGTTTTATCTGCAAATTTCTTTATGTAAAGGGCCATATAGTAAACATGTTAGGCTTTGCTAGCCACATATGATCTCTGTTGCATATTCTTCTTTGTTTTGGTTTTGTTTTACAACCTTTAAAAAATCTAAAAACTGCTCTTAGCTCTCAGGCCATACAAAAACAGGTGGTGGGACATATTTGGCCCAAGAGCTGTAGTTGATGCCCGCTTTAGGACATTACTGTGGAAGGTTGAGTCATTTCATCAGTAGTTGAGCTGGGTTTGGGATTTCTTGTTGCTGTGGTTACTTTTGGTGCCCCACAGGCTCCAGATTCCTCTAGTGCTGCCTTGTGGTGGGGGGTGGGGAAAGCTGAAGAATGCAGGGGCCATTGAGGTGTCAGGGTTTTCCGATAATGTTCGCCCTCCGTCCTCAGCTCTCCACAGGTGGGTTCTCGCTCACCTGTGTTCCTCCCCCAGTGGTGCCTTGCACCAGGCACTTGCCAGGCTGGAGGCAGAAGCAGATGGGTTCCCCTCTTGTCCTTGCCCCGCCTCGTGTCAGGTAGGTGCTGTGCCTCTGGGTCTTGCATGTGAGGCTTTCTCAGCACTCGTCCCCTCCTGCCCGCAGCAGGCCATCTCTGCTGAGTGTCATGGCCGGTGTGGTGGGTGAGGGCCCGTGGCAGCAGTAGGACACCTCCCATGCTGTCGATAGAGAATCCCAGCTTGGATTGGTTTCCTGGCCCTCCCCCGCTATAGCAGGTCTTCACCCTTCAGATTGTGTTCTTTGGCTGTGCTGCCCTTCCTCCAGCAGCTTAAGATGGGCCTTCATGGGAGAGAAGGGTCTGAGGCTGCAATTTCACTTTCTCATCTTCCCTGTCGTGGTGGCCGAGGGAGGCTGCCCTCCTGCACCCTGTCCCTCCTGGAAGGGCCTCCGTTGCCCTGTGACCTCATCTCTAGGGTGGGGTGGGTTCAAGGATGTGTCACGAGTGTGGGGTTTGTTGGGAGCCACATTCTACCTCCCCGATGGGAGCATCCCCTTCCCCACTCCCTCACCTGAGCTGTGTACTCTTCTTTAAGTGATGCTCATTGAAATGTGTTTTTCTCTCTAAAATGCTATATCCACCCATTGAGTCAATTTGGAGTCCCTTCCCTGTGCATGTCCGGGCTGAAGAGTGTTGTGTAGACTCTGGGGCATCATAGGAAAGGTGGGGTGGGGGCTCAGGTGCTGTGTCTCAACGGGGGTGGGGGTGGGGGGGTTGCCTGGTGCTGATCACTGCAGTGATTGAGATTATCTTCAGGTTCTTTCTAGTGAAGGCTGCCTCCTGGTGAGGTGTGGTGATCAACTTAGGGAGTACTAACTTATCATTGTTTTACATCTTTTCAGACCCTGGAGGCCATCCTGAACTTCAAGTACTCCGGGGGCCCAGGCCACGTTGAAGGGTATTACAGGAGCCTCTCGTTGGGGCTGCATGTAGAAGTCGAGCCGTCTGTGTTTTTCACCAGAGTCAGTACTCTCCCAGCAACCAGGTAATCGTCTCACTGCTGCATGCTCGCCTCGTTCTAGAGCCTGACCATGCTGTGCTCGGACACTGACCTCAGTGTTCCTTTAGGTCCTGCCTCCCATGACATCGTGCCATTGTGCCCAGTTGCTTGGCCTTTCTGGGACTTAGGTTCTTCATCAGAAAAACAGGCATTCTCTAGGAACTGTGTCTTTGGGTGGCACGCTGCAGCACTAGTGCCAGCGACTGCAGCATGCTTGCGTGTGGTTGTGCAGACATATTCCCTCATGGCCCTGAACCCGGTTCTAGTGGCAGCCTGGTTCCCCTCTCCTGTTAGCAGGTCTCAGCAGGTAGCTGTGTGCCTTGGGCACCCTGGGAGGAGCCCAGCATCTCTTTCTGTGTCACTCCTGCATCCCAGTGAGAGAGGTGCTTTGTTTCCAGGGCCCGCTGTGGGAGCGCCAGGCATTTCTACCCAGGGAGTGCTTCCTGCATAACAACCTTCTCCCTGATTCACTTTTCCAGGCCTAGACTTCCCTCACAGAGAAAGAAATCAGTCTGTCCACTTCATACCCATACTAGGAGTATTCTTCTTTGAGGTGGGAGAATGACAGTTTCTCATCCAAAACTTTCACCTGTGCTGAAGTGGTGGTGGTGGAGCCTGAGAACTCTGGGTGGAGCTCCAGCCAGCTGAGGCCCTCTGCAGCCAGCTTCCTGCCCCAGGCACGAGCAGGTGCTGATCTCCACTGCACCCTTACTGTTTTTGTGTCCAGTGGTGCCTCGCGTGTCAAGGGTAGGGCCGCTGGGTCAGTGTTCCTTCTTGTTAATAGAGTTAAGACAGCAGGGATGACACACACCTGTCTGTCCTTGCATCTGGTGAGGGGGAGGGGAGCACATCGGGTGCAGTGCCCCCCCAGCAGTCAGCCCTATATTCCTCAGAGTGAAATAGAGGGATGTCATTGTCCGTGTTAATGTTGACATAAAGATCCCTTTAAAGTGATACAGCTCCAGATAATAAGTGTGGTTTTAGTTTAGAGGAAAGACTGTTTTTCTTCCCAGCTGTTGGAGAATGGCTTCAGGAAGAATTAATGGCTTAGTTGGGCCTTTTAGCATCACATTTCACCATCTATCACTTTTTCAATCCTTGGAGAAATAGTCTTTCCTGCCAGGGCTCGCCTCTGTTTTGAATTTGTATAAAGTATTAAAGCACTTGCCCCTGGGGAAGATATGGCCAGGACTGCTGCCAGATGACATTAGAGTGTTTCAGGCCCTTTCTGTGCATTAGATCTCCTCCGTCGTAAACCCGGCGTGTTTCTCTCCCATCCCCTTATCTCCTGCTGCCATCGCCAATAGAAATAATTCTTGGAAGTGGCACAGGTTGTCACTGAATTTTTATTTTTTTTTTGCCCTCTTACTTTCTGCTTCCACGTCATGGCCCCTGCAGTTCTGAGTGACACTTTAAGATGAGAACAGCCCTGCCGGTTGAGTATGCTGCAGACGGACTGGGGAGAGCTGGCTGTTACTGAAGCACTGTTTGGGTCCTGGTCCCCCAGCCTGTGGACCTCGCTCTCTTTTCTTTTGGCCTACGTGTTTCTTTTCCCTGCTCTTGGGATTGAGATTTGGTTTCTTTTAATCCTGATTTTACATTATTCCTACATCTAATTGATTACCAAATCCTATGGATCAAACCTCTGAAACATCTCCTGATCAGCCTGTGCATGTCTCCATCACTGTAGAAAGAATTGCCTCCCTGGTCTCCCTGCCTTCAGTCTTGCTAAATGTTCCCATGTCGCTGCCCAGCTTAAAGACTTTCCCAGTGTTTATAAAGTCCAAAGTCCCTCATGTGATATTCAGGGTGTTTAAAGATCTGACCTAGACCTTCCTCTTAGGCTCTTTTGTCCCCAGTTCCACTACACTGTTTAAAAGCCACTTTGCGTCTCACCATCACTAGGATATGTCAAGGCACTTTATTGCAATGAGCTTTGCACACATCTTTTTCCAAAACTGTTCTTTTTTCATAAACTATCATTCTTTCACTTAACCTTCTGGCAAATATCTGTTTGCCCTTGATCTCTGTTACCATTTTTGTAAAATTTTCCTGAGCATGACTGGGCAGAATGGATTGTTCTTTCTGTGGGTTCCTCTGCACGTTCCTTGTACTTCTAATAAAGCACTTACGAGACTGTATTGGACATACTTTCATTTAGGCTTTAAGGTAACACCTCCAACTTCCAGGTGCTATACGAAGTACTCACTGGGGTACCTTCTTTTATTTTGTTTTTTTACTATTGAGATGTTTGAGTTCCAGGTATATTCTGGGTATTAATTCCTTGTCAGATGTATAGTTAGCAAATATTTCCTCCCATTCTGCAGTTGTCTCTTCATTCTGTTTATTATTGCCTTTGCTGTGCAGAAGCTTTTCCATTTGATATATTCCCATTTGTTTATTTTTGCTTTTGTTGCCTGTGCTTTTGAGTTTTTATTCATATGTCCTGTGTTTTCTTCTAGAAATTTTATAGTTTCAGGTCATACATTTAAGCCTTTAATCCATTTCGAGTTGATTTTGGTAAATAGGGAGAGATGGGGGTCTAGTTTCATTCTTCTATACGTGGATATCCAGTTTTCCCAGCACCGTTTATTGAGAGGCTGTACTTTCTCCAGTGTATGTTCTTGGCACCTTTGTCAAAGATCAGTTGGCTGTAAAAGTGTGGATTTGTTTATGGGTTCATTTTTTACTTCCATTGGTCTATGTGTCTGTTTGTATGCCAGATCCATGCTGTTTTGGTTACTGTGGCTTTGTATGTATTTTGAAGTCAGGTAGTATAATGCCTCCAGCTTTATTCTTTTGCTCATGATTGCTTTGACTATTGGGATCTTTTGTGGTTCCATATGAATGTTAGGATCATGTTTTCTATTTCTGTGAGGAATGTCATTGGTATTTTGATAGGGATTGCATTGAATCTATAGTTTGCTTTGGGTAGTATTGTCATTTTGACAATATTCGTTCTTCCAATCCATGAACATGGAATATCTTCCCATTTTTTTGTGTCCTTTTTAATTTCTTTATGAATGATACCACAGAAATACAAAGAATCATTAGAGACTATTATGAATAATCATACACCAACAAATTTGAAAATCTGGAGGAAATAGATAAATTTCTGGATGCATACAACCTACCAAGACTGAACCAAGAGGAAATAGAAAATGTTAACTTACCAATAATGAGGAAGAAGATTGAATCAGTAGTCAGTAGTCTCCCAACAAAGAAAAGTCCAGGATTGGATGACTTCCCTGCTGAATTCTACCATACTTTTAAAGAATTAATACCAGTTCTTCTCAAATTCTTCCAAAATGTTGAAGCAGAGTTTGTTCTCCCAAACTCATTCTATGAAGTCAGCATCACCCTGATACCAAAATCAGACAAAAACACAACAAAAAAAGAAAACTGCAGGCCAGTATCCTTGGTGAACATAGATGTAGAAATTCTCAACAAAATACCAGCAAACAGAATTCAACAGCACATCAAAAAGATTATACACCCTAATCAAGTGGGATTCATCCCAAGGATGCAAGTACGGTTCAACATTCACAGATCAATAATATGATATGCCACATCAACAAAACAAAGGACAAAACCCATATGATCATCTCAACAGACGCATAAAAAGCATTCGATAAAATTCAGCATTTCTTCATGAGAATAATTCTAAAGAAACTAGATACAGAAGGAGAGTATCTCAACACAGTAAAGGCCGTATATGACACATCCACAGCTAACATCATGCTTATGGGGAAACATCACAGCTAGATGGGGAAAAGTTGAAAGCTTTTAAGATGCTTACTCTCACTTCTATTTAACATAGTACTGCGAGTTCCAGTCAGAGCAATTCAGCAAGAGAAAGAAAGAAAGGGCATCCAAACTGGAAAAGTGTAAGTCAAACTGTCCGTTTGTAGATGACATGATCTCTTATATATAGAAAAACTTAAAGATTCCACCAAAAAACTCTTAGAACTGGTAAATTGAGTAAAGTTGCAGGATACAAAATCAGTGTACAAAAATCAGCATTTCTATATACAAACAGCTAGCAGAAAAAGAAATTAAGAAAGCAATCCTATTTATAATAGCTACTAAAGCAATAAAATGCCTAGGAATAACTTTGACCAAGGAGGTGAAAAATCTCTACAATGGACAAATGTTTTGAAAGACACAAATGACTAAAACTGACAGAAGAAGAAATAGAACATGTGCATAGTCACATATCCGTTAAAAAATTAAAATTCTTAATTAAAAACTTACCACAAAGCAAACTTTAGGCCCAGGTGGCTTCACTGTGAAATATATCAAGCTTTTAAGAAAGAAATAATAAAACCTTTATAAAAATTCTTTCAGAAAATAAACAAGGAGGGAATAGTTCTTAACTCCCATTTCATGACACCATCATCACCTTGATGCCAAACCCAGACAGAGACAGTGTGAGAAAAGGAGACTTTAGGCCAGTAACCTCGTATTTAAATGTAAAATGTGAAAACAAGATATTAATCACATCAAGTTCAGAAATATATGAAAGGGATAATACAGCATGAACAATTCAGGTTTAACCCACGAATATAAGGTTGTTTCACAATTGAAAAATTAGTCATTGGAAATTACCACATTAGCAAAATAAAGGAGAAAATCATATGATTATGTCAGTTGATGAAGAAGCATCATTTTACGGAATTCAACCCATATTTATGATAGAAATGCTCAGTAACCTAGGGTTAGAAGAGAACTTCCTTAACCTGAAAAGGCTACCTAAAAAAACCCTATTGATGCTACACTTAAACGTAAAAGTCCGATTACTTTTTCTCTATGATGAGGAACAGGGCAAGTGTGTGTGCTGTCACCACTGTGTTGTTTTTCTGGTAGCCCTGTTGAGAACATGAAGACAAGAAAAGAATTAAAGGTATAAAAATTGGAAATGATGAAGTATGATTATTACTATTCACTTGTTTTCTTTACGTGGTACACATGATTGTGTACATTAA